CCTCTTTAGGGGAGATGAAAGGACTTCTACAGAGCTCACAGCACTCTCCCTCCCTCCCCCCCAGACAATCTGGCGGCTGAGCTGGAGGCCAACCTCGGCCTCATTGAAGAAATTTCAGGATATCTCAAAATCCGCCGATCCTATGCTCTGGTGTCCCTCTCCTTCTTCCGGAAGTTGCGTCTGATTCGAGGAGAGACGCTGGAGATCGGGTAGGTGGGCCGCTTCTGGGTGCCGCCATCACTAACACCTTTGTGCTGCAGCTCTGGTGTTTCCTGTGGATGGTCCAGTGCCTCCCGGCTAGGCTTTCCCAGGCTGGAGCCCTGCTGTCCAGCGGAACCCAGTACAGGTCCCACCTGGGACTTACATGTCCCAGTAGCTGCACTTTAAAAACTTGAAAAGAAACAGGTGAGATTGATTTTCCTACCCATTATATCCAAAAGGTTATTTCAACATGGAATTAATTTAAAAAGGAATTCTCCAGAAGATGCCGTACACCTGTTTTCTTGTGCTGAGTCTTTGAGACGTGCTTTCCCCCTCCAGGACAGTTTGGGATGGCCCCCATCCAGGCGCTCAGTAGCCACGTGATACAGGCTGATGGCTTCTGAATGACAGTGCGGGTCTCGATGTTCCCCCTTTCCCACCCGTCACCTGCTGGTGGCCACTGGTTTTCTAAAGCTCAGATCTAACCAGGTCACAGAGCTGACGGAGAGTAAAACCTTGAAGGACCCCGCTCCCTGTGGAGGAAGTCCGTGTTCCTGGGTTGGTGTGGCCTGCAGTGCACTGGGGGCCGGGCCCCCTGGGCTTCCCCTGGGGCCAAGCGGCCTTCTTTGGTTTTCCCAGCTCCGACACCTCTTTCTCAGTCTCTCCTCCCTGCGAACCCAGTCTCCGTCCAGCCATGGTCTCGCCTCCCCTTCCCTAGGGCAGAGCTCAGACTCCTTCCTGGCCACAAAAATGAACCGGCTTCCCCGTTCTCCTTATCCCATAAATATTCATGGAGTCTGCCCCCGGAAGTGGTTGGCAGCGAGGTTGTAACACGGGATGAGATCGACCCCCGGCCCAGCACTGCCCTCTCAGAGCTGAGCAGGACATGCCGCCAGGTGACCAGGACATGTGTGTCCCTGCAGGAATTACTCTTTCTACGCCTTGGACAACCAGAACCTGAGGCAGCTCTGGGACTGGAGCAAGCACAACCTCACCATCACTCAGGGGAAACTCTTCTTCCACTATAATCCCAAACTCTGCCTGTCGGAAATTCACAAGATGGAAGAAGTCTCTGGAACCAAGGGGCGCCAGGAGAGGAATGACATTGCCCTGAAGACCAACGGGGACCAGGCATCTTGTAAGTTGTGCTGCTCTGGGGCTCCCGGCCTGTGGCCCAGATGATGTGGCTGTCCTTCCTTGGCCACTGCACTGGCCTGCAGGAGGCGCCACTATGTCCTGGTGAGTGCGACTCGCCGTGTGACAGGCGGGTTCGGCACCGCTCTTCTCTGCGTCTGGTGCTGGGAGATGCTGCAAAGGCTGCATGAATGAATGAGTGGCACCTTCTTGTGTAAGTGTCAGACTTGGTGCTGATGCCGAGGCTCCCGAGTGGACAGCATGCCCGTTCCCACCCGCGTCCTCTGGGAGACAAACATCGAGACAGAGCTGGGAGGGTGGGAAGGGTGCTGAGAGTAATGCCCGTGAAATAGAAAGGGGAGAAGGAGGAGAAGCGGGCGGGAAGGGCCTCTGACAACAGTGTGGCTCTCACCTGTGAGCAGAGAGGGAAGACGGAGGACGGGGTCAGGAGAGCCTCTGTGCAGCCCCGGGGAGTGGAGGCAGCGGTCGTCCAAAGTCTTGCATGGCACCGGGAGGATCAGACCCTTGCCCAGCTCAGCTGTGGTGGAGGCTGACCGGGGAGAGCCCAGCCAGGCAGGAGGGTGTGGTGGGTGCTGTCTTTGCAGCTGCTGCGGCTGGAGGCTGTCCCTGGTCCTGTTGGGGAATTGGCCCCTTGAGGCAGGACGCTGTTCTGCGAGGGTTAGTTTGGGGTGGAGGGCAGGAGGGAGATTGCATCCCAGGCCCAGGGAATGACTCAGCTGGGTCTTTCTGAGGTTTATTGCTCCCCGGTCTGTCAAAGTCATTTGGCGTGTGTCTTTGTGCCCGAGAAGGAGCATCCTCTCCCATGTCAGCTTGCAAGTCCATGAGCAAGGCAACATTGTATCCAGACAAATGCTACTTCTGCCAAGTCCTTGTCTAGATAGCCATGGGCTGGTTGTCCTCACATGGACACAGGCTGGGGATACCCAGTTGTCACCCTTATTCAGCTTTGTCTGCTCGATTAATTGGTTGGCATGAAGAGCCACGTTGCACAACCTGTGCTTGGCTTCCAGTGCCTCCCCAATTCACCCTCAGCAAGACCCGTGCTCTGCTCTGCTGCTGCAGGGACCAGACCCATTTGGGGAACAGCATGTGGACATCTCCCTCTGGCAGCCCTCCAGGAAGTGTGGGATCCCAAGCTTCAACCTGACACTATTCCCTACTGAAGTAGCTTGATTTTTTTTTTTTTTTGACTTTTCCAGGTGAAAATGAATTACTTAAATTTTCTTTCATTAAGACATCTTTTGACAAGATCTTGCTGAAATGGGAGCCGTACTGGCCCCCTGACTTCCGGGACCTCTTAGGATTTATGCTCTTCTACAAAGAGGCGTAAGTAGAAGGCTAAAGAGTTGTGGAGTGGGGTGGAGATGGGGCTAGATCTGCCCCAGGGTGTTCTTCTCTGTGCCTCACTTTCTCCTTGTAGAATAAATACCTTAGGTACCTTTTATTTAAAAAAAAATGATTTTTTTTTTTTTTTTGGTAACAGGGATTGAACTCGGGGGCACTCGACAACTGAGCCACATCCCCAGCCCTATTTTGTATTTTATTTAGAAACGGGGGTCTCACTGAGTCGCTTAGTGCCTCACTTTTGCTGAGGCTGGCCTTACATTTGTGATCCTCCTGCGCCGCTAGGATTACAAGAGTATGCCACGCACCTGGCCTTAGGTTCCTTTTAACCACCTTACTAGTTGATGGCATACAAAGTCAATAACACCCCCTTTTGTCAAAAGTAAAATTGAAAGTACAAAGTTTTTCTTTGGTCTGGACTTTTCTTTTCTCTCTTTTGAGACAACCGTGCTGTGTTATCCGGGCTGGCATCAAATCCCTGGATTCAAGAGAGTAGCTAAGACTAAGGTATGGCAGGGGATCTGCACTCTTCCATTTGCCTGTTTGCTGTACCCAGGAGTGCAGTCTGCAGAATAGGTTTTCAATTTTTTTCCCCAAGAAATTTTTTTATTGTGGCAAAATGGATATCACGAAATGTACCCTTGTTTAAAAGTACAGTTCTGTGGCATCGAGTATATCCAGAGTTGTACAGCTGTCACCCACCTCCATTTCCAGAACGCTTCTGTCCTCAGAAGCAGAAATTCTGAACACATTAAACCACGTGTAGTATTTTTTAGCATGTGATTGGGCTGGGACTTTTTTCCTTTTGTTTTGGTACCAGGGATAGAAATGCTGAGCCACATCCTCAGCCTTATTTATTTACTTATTTGGAGACACTAAGTTGCCAAGGCTGGCCTCAAACTTGCAATCCTCCTGCCTCAGCCTCCTGTACTGCTGCATTGTAGGCGTGAGCCACTGTCCCTGACTTAGGCTAGGAGTTTAAGGGAGGCAGCAGAGGTGGCCCTAGGAGTCATAGTAATCAACATTCCACATGTCAAGAGGTGTCACATGCCAGTCAAGAACTCCCAGGTGTTCTGTTATATAACATCAGTGATTCATGGGCCAGTTGCTGCTGTTACGGATGTCCCTCCTCTTGGGATGTGACTATGTCCTGATAACCTGAGTTGAAAATATTGTCCGCCCAAGGGCAGCGGCCACACCTAACTGCCCAGACACCCTAACTCTGCAGCAGGCACACTGCAGTGCTTGGGCTCTTCACCTTTGCGAGCTGCCTGGACTCACCAGTTATCACACTGTGGGTCGCTAGCCCCGGAGATCAGAATTCAGATCTAAAGGAAGTCCACACCATCTTTGCACCATCAGAAAGTTGAAGATGGTGAGTGGGACCTCGGGCGGTCATTGTGGTCACTGAGATGTCAGGGCTGGGGGCTCCTTGCTCTTTGGCTGCTGTCATTTCTCCTTGTGGCAGAGGGTTGTTAGGTGAGAAAGCAGCAGCCCCAGGGCTGGAAGCCCCCCCACCCCCCCCGTGGGGCTCTGAGAAGTGGCCACGTCATGACCTCGAGGGACTGCAAGGGTAACCCCTTCCTTCTGCTTTATCTCAAAAGCCCTTATCAGAACGTGACCGAGTTTGACGGGCAGGATGCATGTGGCTCCAACAGCTGGACTGTGGTGGACATCGACCCGCCTCAGAGGTCTAACGACCCCAAGCCCCAACACCACCCCGGATGGCTGATGCGGGGTCTCAAGCCCTGGACCCAGTACGCCATCTTTGTCAAGACTTTGGTCACCTTTTCTGATGAGCGCCGGACCTACGGGGCCAAGAGTGACATCATCTATGTGCAGACAGATGCCACCAGTACGTATGTTTTGTGAATACGGATTTGTTCACAAGGGGGGACCCTGCCAGTCCCTACGCAGGGGACTTCTTATGGCTACTGGCTTCTACAGAAGCCGAGTGCTGAGGGTGATATGTTCACAAGATGATGTGGACCCATAAACCTCCTTAGGGGGGAGTATACAGTGTCCCCCTTTCCTGAGCTTCATGCTTTCTAGGATTTGGATCTTGTGAGGTCAGCCACAATCCAGAAATATTTGATGGAAAATTCCAGAAGCAAACCATTCATAGCTGTCACTCACTCACTGTAGTGAATGGGTGTAGCTGTTCTATTATGGCTGGTTGTCTCTTATTGTGGCTGATCTATAATGAGTTTCTACCATAGGGAGGCCACCGTGTGTTCAGGGCTCAGGGCTGTATGAGGCTTTGGGCATCTGCTGGGGGTTGCGAATACATCGTCCATAGATAAGGGGGCAATCGTTTATTTTTTCAATCTAGTAAATTTTTCAAACATTTGCAAAGCTAGAAAGAATGGCTGACTGTCCCCGGCTTCCATGATTTGCCATTTTTACCGTTTTTCTCCCCTTCGTTCCTCCTCCTCCTCTAATTGTCTTTTTTTTACTGGGATGTTTCCTAGCAATTAAGTTAGTTTTGCAAAACCCAAGTCTTTCTCCCACAGCAGCCGTTCTCAAAGAGTGACGATTCTGCCTCTCCAGGGAGCGCTAGGCAGTGTCTGCTGGCGCGGGTGGTTGTCCCACCTGGGGGTGGGGAGACCGGCGACGGCTCCCTGTGACAGAGCCTCGTCCAGCCCCAGCGTCCGTAGGGCGGAAAGCGAGCACCCTTGCCCCATGGGGAACAAGGCAAGCTTTCAAGTCAACACTGCTTCCTGGGCTGGTCCACTTGCAGCCCGTCTCCCATCGATGCCACATGCTGAGTTTCTAGAAACTTCCAGCATCTGGGTCCCTTGTACACTCTGCTGTCTCCACCTTGAGTGCCCCCTCCCTCCCCAACTCCCTAGGTCACCTCGTTTTTGAGGGGAATGGTTTGTGGAGCCTAACGCTGTGCATTGTGGGGGATGTTGGATGACAGCTGGTGGCTTCAAGTTTGCCCAGGGACCAGGTTCACTTTGGAGCCAACTGGAACCAGTAGCATGAGTCTGTTGGTCTCTTCCCAGGGTCCTTCTTCCCCAGCAGCATCTTCCCAGTGCTCAGCTCAGAGCTTGGCGCCTGCTGGGGCTCCATCCATGTTCATTAAGTCAGTGGGGGAATGTGGCCACGCCATCTGTAGTGCAAGTGGACTGTGACTTGGTGACCCTCGCCTGGCCTGGCCTGGCGAGCGTTCCTTGTGTTGGCAGTTTTCTCCGATGTTAAACACACTGCAGCCGCTGCCTCGCGGTCCTGTAACTTGGGTGTCCCTTCCCCTCTTGGTGCACCCGGCAGCCTGCTGCTCCTCACGGTCGGCCTGCTTCCTTCTCTCTCGCAGATCCTTCCGTCCCCCTGGATCCCATCTCGGTTTCGAATTCCTCGTCTCAGATCATCTTGAAGTGGAAGCCCCCCTCGGACCCCAACGGCAACATCACGCACTACCTGGTTTACTGGGAAAGGCAGGAGGAAGACAGTGAGCTGTACGAGTTGGATTATTGTCTCAAAGGTGAGTACGGGCAGCCGTGGTGGGTTGGCCACGCCGTGTGACACTTATGGGGGACACAGGTGCTGTCTCCTGCTTCCCAGGGTGCACGCGCGCATTGTTCTCTTGCACACTAAGAAAATCCACATCTTTAAACACTATGCAACTAGACACTCTGAAGACTGGTGTCAAAACCAGGTGCAGTCAGGGTCACGTGATGATGTTCCCTTTAACAGTGAGCCAGGGTAGGACAGGGTTCCCATGAGATGATGCCACCTCGAGAAGTAGTGGCCGCCTTGGCACGTGTAAGCACACTGCGCAGTCACACACCATGGGGTCCTCAAGGTCCCCAAGGATGCTTTCTCAGGGTCCTGGTGCTCAGTGGTGCTCGACTCTTGTCTTTTATGTCTTGGCACCATGTTCCCCTGGGGGTCTCTGCTTCCCCTTCCTCCCCCTCCACCCTGTGTCACTGTGTGAACCACCCGAGATTCTCTGCCAAACCAGAGGCAGCTGGGCTTGCAGAGAGGTCCTAAGCCAAGCCAGGGAGGGACTCTGGTTCCCGGGTTTAAAGGGCTGGAAACGGCAAGGAGTGGTCAGCGCTCTCTGCTCCTGTGCCTTCCGCCAACACTTTATGCTCATGCAGTTGTTTTCTCAGTCTTTAGTCTTGTTTGCTGCAAGGTCCTCCATCCATCTGAGGGAGAATGGAGAAATATTTGAAGCCTCGAACTAGTTGGTATGCACTAGTTAAAAATATTCTAAAACTGGGTTTGTTTTAATTTTTATGAATACACAACAATTGCAGTTGTACATATTATATTGGTGGGATACAGTGTGACGTTTCCGTACACGTACACAATGGGTAAAAGTCAACTTTGAGTAATGAGCATTTTGATCATTTTTGTGATGAGAACCTTTAAAATCTGATCCCTGAGTTTCTGGACAGTGGCTGCAGAGTTGCAGGGACAGGATAAAGTTCTGGTGGTGTTCCACGGCACAGATGAGTGCCATAGTTGACAATAGAGGACATTTCAAAAGAGCTAAAGGTGTGTTTTGTTTTGTTTTTTTTTTTTCCCCTAAACCAAATAAACTGAAGGGCTCTTTTCCTTTATTTATTTTGTCTCTAATTCACTTTCTTGCAATGTTTTCAGAATCGGTGTCCTCAGTCCATGACCTTGGAGGAGCAGGGGGCTGTGGGAGAGCAGTGGCCGAGGTCTGCTCTTGGCTCAGTCCCTGACCTGCCCCAGGGTGTTGGCCAAGCCACCCAGCCCTTACAGTCTGCCTCCTTTTTGGGAGAAGGGGTGGGGGACAGCTGATCTCCAGGAGCCGTCCCAGCTCCCAGATCATGTGCTATATGTATGCCTCTGACATCATCCCTTCCTGAGCCCAGGACTGCCAACTGATTTATCTCCTGATGCTTTATATAACTCGAGAGCAAGCCTGGGCCTCGGCTCAGCTCCTCCTGTGGGCTCTGTCTGCCAGTATCCACTGGCAACGTCAAAGCTTTCCTTTTTTTTCCTCCTCCTCCTTTTAAAGAACAACTTTCATTCTGTGAGTCTAATATGATTACCATGTGACTGTTTAAGTGTCACTGTAGGTGTGTTACTTTGTTTCCACAATTAAACTCGGTAAGGACCCATCCTGCAGGATTCCGCTCTCGGCAGTCCCTGAGTCGGGGCTGGGAGGGTGGAGTCCGTGTTGGAGGGGACAGGGTTCCAGCTTGGGAAGACGAGGAAGGTCTGGAGAGGGACGTGGCAGTGATCGGCCCATGTTGTGAATACACCTGATGGCACCGTAGTCTGCATTGCAAAACGGTTAAAATGGGGAATCTTGGGTTTATTTTGGACAGTTTAAAACAGACATAAATGCACACTAAATGAACTCCCCAAGGACAGGAGTAGCTTTCTATTAGTGTGGTTTGAAGAAAAAAAAAAAACACTTGTGGTTAAATACACTGAACAGAGTCCACCGTTTTAACCCTTTCCAGTGCACAGTTCGAAGGCGTTGAGGGCGCTGGTGTGGTGCAGCTGCCACCACCCCGCTCCCCCCCCCCCCCCCCCCGACCTCAGGACTCCAACTGAGACCCATGGAGAGCTCCTTGGGCCGCCCCAGACCAGCGCCCCCTGGTCATCTCAGAAAAACCCGAGGCCCCAGTCTCCTGGAACCATACCTGGGTCCCATCAAACGTCCCTTCCTCCCAGCGGGAGCTGGCCTGAGGAGCAGCGTCCCGGCTCCTGGCTGTGGAGCCCGGCTGCGCGCACAGTGTGGGTAGCGGGAGCCCCAAGGACTTGACCTTGGGGACTGAAACGGGCAGCCAGGACTTTAAAAGCAGCAGCTTGGCAATGCTAGGGCCCCTGGGGGAGTGGGTGCTCTTGCTCTTTTCAGTTCCCTTTCCTGGGCTTACCTGAGAGGTTTCGAATGCCGACTTCCCTCTGGCCTTAGTTCAGGGAGTCCTCGACCATGGCACTCTGGATGTGGGGGGCTGGCCATTTTCTGCGGAGGGGCCTTCCTGAGCATTGTGGGGTGTTGACAGCATCCCTGGCCTCCACTCATGGGCACCCCCAGTCCAGGTGGGACTCCCCGGATGTCTCCTGAGGCTGCATGGTGTTTACAGGGCGGGGTGAGAATAACCCCTCAGGTGGGGACCGCTGGTCAAGTCTGACTCTAAATCCACCAGTGGACCCCTGGAATTCTGGGTGGAGTTTGGCTTTATCTTCTCACCACTTACATTTGCGTGGCTGATGGATTCGTTTGTTCTCTCTACTGTGACAGCCCTGTTTCCCCCTGTCCTTTCCCTCGCCCCACTCTAGATACATGGGTCCCTTGCATTTTCCATATGCCAAGGACACCTCTGACTCGGGGCCTTTGCACTTGCTCTTTGTACCAACTGAATCGCTTTCCATCAAGTTGTGTGTGTGGCTGAATTCAGACTGGCTCAGCAGTTTTGTTCTCTGAGACTGTTCCGTATGGCACCTGCGGTCACCCTTGGCCCTTCTGTGCCATCTGACCCTGGTTTACTGGTTTATTGTAGAGCATGGAGGCTTTTCCTAGATCCCTAACACTCTCCAGCCCCGCGACGTTGGTGTCAGTTTCTAAAACACACTGACGTGCTCTCCCAGTGGACACTGGCAAGTCCCTCCAGAGAGAGGAGCTGGACCCTGGGCCCTGTCACCTGTGTCCAGCCTCTCTGAGAAGACCCCTTTGCTCTGTGTGAGTGTGTGTTTTGGGGGAGGCTTGAACCTCTGGCTCTGCCTCCCTTAGGCTTGAAGCTGCCCTCGCGCACGTGGTCCCCGCCGTTCGAGTCGGACGATTCTCAGAAGCACAATCAGAGCGAGTACGAGGACTCGGCCGGGGAGTGCTGCACCTGCCCGAAGACCGACTCTCAGATTCTGAAGGAGCTGGAGGAGTCCTCGTTTCGGAAGACCTTTGAGGATTACCTGCACAATGTCGTTTTCGTCCCCAGGTTAGGCCTCTTACAGCCCCAGGTTCTCTTGGTGTCTCTTGGCTTGATGTTCAGGGTCAATACTTACAGAACGAGAGGAGGTGGACGTGGGTGGAATGTGAGCTGAGCCTCTCCTGGATGGAGCAAAAAGAATCTTGTGATTTTACCAGGTGGTGGTGCACACCTGGAATCCCAGGCACTTGGGGGGCTGAGGCAGGAGGATCACAAGTTTGAGGCCAGCCTCAGTAACTTAGTGAGACCCTGTCTCAAAAAGGACTGGGGTTGTGGCTCCCTGGGTTCAATTCCCAGTTAAGGGAAAAAACAAAAAAAAAAAACCCTTGAGATTTCAATGGGACCACTTCCAACAAGAGTAAATAATCGCACAAAAGGGAAAATTTATATAACCTGACATTTACCTTTCTTACTGCATCATTCTCCACCCTAGTTGTGAAGCAAATTCCATTTGATTATTAGGCAAAGCTTGAGAAATGCCTGCCTGCACCCCATACTTGATTTACTGCTAAATCTCAAACTCGGTCCCTCCCCTCTTTCTGAATTCATGTAAGATTCATCCTTTTGGAATGTTCCAGAGATCCTCAAAGCCCAGAGGCTTCTATTTAAATAGGTTGAATTTCCTTAAGTGAGGAGAGGCACTGGATGAGGTGTCTCTGGCGTCCAGAGGAGGCACGCAGCAAATATCACTCGAAGCTTTAAATCCGCTTGTTTTCCTTTCCTGCAAGGAAAGTCCCAGGTGGCAGACACACACCTGTGGATGCAGCGTTCCCCCACGCACCCTTCTCGGCGTTAGTGTCGGTAGAGCTGTGGAGCAGTGGGTGGCAGGGACTCTGGAAGCCCCTCTGGAAAGCTGGGCTCCCTGCCCTTCTGTGAACTGGCTTGATGAGGCTATGTCACTTTGTCCCTCAGCATCCTCGTCTGTAAAATAGACACAATACAGTTGACTCTTGGTGTCTGTGGGGATGTTCTAGGACCCCCAAGGACAGATGCTCAAGACCCTATGTAAATGCGTGGTGTTGGCAGACTTTAAATCAAGGAATAGCGACAGGAAAAGTCTGCGTTTGCCAGGACCCAGTCAGTGTTCCCTGCAGACACTTGCCATCCATGGTTGGTGGTCTCCCCTGTGGAACCCGTGGATGCAGAGCGCTGCCTACAAACCTTCCTGTGTTTGGGGCTTTGGCAGTGAAGGGGTTACCAGGATTCTCAACCTTCACCACTGACATCTGGAACCAGGTTGTTCTGTGGGCAGGAGCTGACCTGCACTTGGCAGGACGACAGCAGCATCTCTGGTCTCCAAACACCCAATGCCAGTAGCATCTCCCACCCCAGACCTGACAACCCAAAGTGCTGCCAGACGTCCCCGGGACTGTGGGCTCTGAGTGTCTGTGGCTGGGCCCCTACCTACCTCTCCATCCTTTGTCCTTCCCCCAGGACTTGAGCAGGCGGCCACCCAGAACTGCCTGACGCAATTGTCCTTTTCCAGAGTGGATCAAACCCCAGGGGGCTTGGCCTGGGACAGAGTTCTAAAATAATGTCCGTCCCAGCACTGACCAGTGCTGCCCACCGAGCAGACGTCTCCCAGAACCTTCAGAGTGTGAACGCTGCTGCTTTCGTGTCGTCCTCTTTGCATTTTTCCCCTATGACCCCGGGTCCAAAAGAGCATCCAGTGGTGCCTCCCAGGCATCAAAGCACTTACTGTTTACTCATTAAAAACAAAATGCGCTGGACTTGGGGAAATGGCTAAGTTGGTTGAGGGAAAGTGTCACCAGATTCAACACCCTAAAGGAGTCCCAGAAGACCGAGTCTCTGGGGAGTATTTCCTCTGGCTCCCCATCCCGTTTGTTGGCTTCCCTGCACTTGTTGAGGAAGGTACCAATCAGTGATGGGAGGTCAAGGGCAGGACTCCCAAGGCTGGGTCTTTTGGAAAGAAAAGAGGTTTATTTTGCTCACAGTTTTGGAGGCTGCAAGTCCAAGATCAGCTAGCCCCATGATCCAGACCCTCTTGGCCACCTCCTATCATGGTGGATGGCATCATGCATCGTAGGAGTGTGGGAGAGAGGTCACATGGTGAGACAGGAAGCCAGAGACAGACGGGGAGGAGCAGTAGTGAATTCCCACTAGGCGTCACCTCTTATCACCATGTTGAGGACCAAACCCCAGCATGTGAACCTGGGGGACACACTCAGACCGCATCCGAAGCCAGCAGAGCTCTCGCTCGCCTAGGACCAGGCCTCCGACGGGGTGTCGGTCAGCAGGCCCACCTGGTGAAGTCCACCTGCCTTCAAAGTGGTTGGTTTTGTTTTCACAGAAAAACCTCTTCAGGCAGTAGTGCCGAGGATCATAGGTACGACTCGCCCGGGAGACGTCCAAGTGGCCCTGTGGCTCTTCAGTGCCAGGCCTGTGGGCCAGGCGGGCAGGGGCTGTGGTGACCTTGGAGGTCTCGGGGTTTTCTGTGGCTTTCTGCATGTGGTGGGCTGCTTGCTGAGACTGGGCGCTTCACAAATCCACTGATCAAACGTCTTCACTCGGGAACGGAATCCGGGCACAAATGTGGGGAAATCTTAACTAACACTTCCTAAAACGCCAATCAAGGAGTCGCTCCTGGACGGGGCCTCGTGCCTCGGTTCCCCGTCATCGCTCACCTACTGTGCCCGTGCTGGGCGTCCAAGCCACACTCAGCAGGGTGTCCCACTCTGGCAGTTCCCACTCCATGCGGGGACACTGATCCAGACGGAGAATTTTTTATTTGGTGACACAGCAAGAGCAAAGGAATGTCACGCACTGAATCACGTTAAGGGACGTTTCCCTTCCATGTGTATCTTAATGAAAGGAGGGCGGTCCTGGAGGAGGGGAGGCCGAGAGCTGGGGAAGCCCACGCTGGGGACAGCAGGGAGAGTGGAAGGATGTCCCTTTAGCTCATGTGGTCCCAGGTACCTTGTGGCCTCATCTGACCTCTAGTGGCCATTTGAAATATGCTCCAGAGTTAAGAATTGTGGCTCTGGCCCCCTGGAGGATTGTTCACTCGTCCCTTGGGCGTGTTGGGGACAGGATCATCCTCTGGAGTTGGGCCATCTGGCACTGACATGCTGAGCAGCCCCGGCCTCCACCCACTCCATGCCCAGAAGCACCCTCTGGGAAGTGGTGCCAACCAAACGTGTCTCCAGACGTTGCCAGAGGGGTGGGGGCAGAGGCACCCCTTCCTGAGACCAGGGTGCCATGTGAGACTGGGGGACACGCTGCCTCTGCGGAGAGTGGAGGATGCGGTTGATATTCTGCACAGGGGTTGGAAGGCAGGCGGTCCTATGGTTGTAGTGAAGCAAACGTGGACATTAAGCAAGTCCCACACTTAGTTTCCCGGTGCACAGGAGTCATGTTCCCGCTGTACCATAGAGTAGTGAGTATGCGAAAGCATTGTCTCTTAAAAATACCGTAATCAGCTGGGCGCGGTGGCACAGGCCTGTAATCCCAGCAGGCCTGAGACGAGAGGATCGTGAGTTAAGGCCAGCCTCAGCAAAAGCAAGGTGCTGAGCAACTCAATGAGACCCTGTCTCTAAATAAAACACAAAATAGGGCTGGGGATGGGGCTTGGTGGTCAAGTACCTCTGACTTCAATCCCCAGTGTCCCCCCACAAAAAGTACCTTAGTTAGACTTAAAAGATTTATTGTTGAAAAAAAAATCACTTGAATTGTTGAAAAAAGGTGCTGACAGATTTACCAAAACAAGGTCACCACAAACCTTTAGTGGTAAAAATGAAGCGGCATGTCGTAGCTGATGTCCTCCTGGACGTGCCCTTGGCCGGCTGACAGACCGTCTTGTCTCCAGGTGTTCAGGTGGGAGTTTCTCGGGGCTCTGAGTCGCGAGCCTCTGGGCTCTCTTCCCCAGGCTCATTCACGCCTGTTCGGAAGGTTCTGGCTCCTGCTGGGTTGGATGTGTCTTAGGCTCGGCAGCTGCTTCCTGTTTTCACCCAAGAACGCTGCTGGGGTCTCAACACCCACACGCCACAGAGAAAATCTCAGTGGCTCACCCCAATTTAGGCTCTGTTTCCTGACCACACATTTCTGACAGAAGAGCAGTGAAAACCAAAAGTAACTCCAAAGGCTGGAATAGAAAATGAAGTCTGTCACTCAAATACCTACTAAGTTGGAGCAGAAACTGAAACTTCCATTAAAGTCTATTTAAAAAGTAATGAAAATGTGGATGTTGCGTATCTTAATGAATCTTGCCAAAGCTTGGCTTTAGTAAAATTAGTGGATGTAAATGGATTCATGAATTAAGAAAATAAATTGGTAAAAATTAACAAATATAAATGTCCTGAGAATCGATATTAACAAAATGTGTAATGTAAGGGGAAAACCAGAGAATCTAGAAAGTGGTATAAAACTAGGATCTGAAGAAAATAGTAATATTCCGTATTATCTGGACAGTGAATACATTCATTTAAAATTCTCGGGGTGGGGGGGAAGAGGCCTCTTATAAAACTAGGAATAGACTACTTCAACAAGATAAATATTACCTAACAGCCAAGCTGACATCAGTCTTTAGACTTACTAGAGTTAGGAAAAAACCAAAGAAGCCCAATATCATTCCTACTGAGTTTTTCCTCTAGCTATCTGACCAATAAGACATGAAACTAGCCAGAATCGTAGTGAATGGAGCAGGAGAGGCTGAGGTGTAGCCCAGTAGGAGACCACTTGCTTAACACACACAAAACCCCTTCCCTAGCTGTTAAAAAAAATGTGGATAACAAAATCATTGATTTGCAGAGTCTAGTTCAAGGTAGGTAAACTGTGGCCCATGGGCCACTGGCTGCCTGGTTTGTAAATGAACTTGTGTTGGAATACGACCGCATCCACCTGTGTACCTGTCATCCCCAGCTGCCTTTAAGCAATAGCGGAACTGGGCATGGGACAGGAGGTGTGGCCTGCAAAACCCAAATATATGCTATCCAGCCATTTGTGGGAAAAGTGTGCTAACCCTCTTTCTAGTTGATTCCATAAAAACTTTAGACTGAGCAAGCATTTGAGGAAAGTAGATACAACATAAATAAACCCAAAGTTAGTATATACTTACAATAATTAGAATATAAAAATAGAGAAGATCCCTTTATAATTGCCATAAAACTTCAGTACACCTGTGGTGTGATATCCCTATCTAGAAATACCTAGAAAGGCAACAACAAAGATTTTTTTAAAGTGATATATCAATTTTTACAAATTCGTGTGAACAAGTATGTTTTAAACCATTTGAAGTTCACCAGCAAACAGCCAGCTGGGGTAGATTATACGATACGACAGGTAGAAGGCTAATGTCCTTAGACTTTTGTGTATGACCTTAGAGTCAAATGTCTAAATGATGTAAGATCCAAATGTCTGAATAAACAGTGTGGGAGTCACAGTAAGGAAGGTGCTAGAGATTCACAGAAAATTAGACAAAGGACGAAGAGGGACGATTCCCAGGAGAGAGACAAAGAACCCACCAGGAGAAGGGGATTGCCACATCCACATGAGGAGCTTCACCTGTCAGTGGGTGATGCTGGGTTAAAATCTCAGGTTGAAACTTGGGGACTCTCGACTCTTAACCCTCAGGGTTGCTGAAGTTGTTCTGAAGCAGTGTCTCAGGGACCCCCCCCCCCCCCCCGTGTGAGAAGCACCAGTCGGTACGGTTCCCAGCCAGCAGTAGAGCCATACGTGTTAAGACGTGGAGGTTTCACATCCTCTTGAACCTAGTGACATTTTCTAAGAATCTACTTTTAGGAACTCCTGAGACAATTGGAGAAAGATGAAAGCAGTATTCGTAATAGTAAAACAAACTTGGGACTACTTTTCAGGAGGGTGGTGGTGGATCAAATCCAGGGCCTCGTGCCTGCGCAGCATGTGCCTAGCACCGAGCCACGCTCCTGGTCCCCAGGGAAGACTCGCTGAAAAACCCAAGGCAGGCTACGTGAAGGGTGACTCATGCGTTAAATGGAATATTTTATGGCCAATCAAGGTTTCCAAATTTCCTGCAGGGAGCACGTGCTCCCTTTATAATTGATTGGGGAAATCCCTGACCCTGAGAGAAAACACTGCAACCCTAGCCTACTTAGGACATTATGTTTTCAGGAAAATATTTAACGAATGCTTCCAACAGGACAAGCAAGTTGCACAATCCGCTTGAGCCTCCTCATTACCACACAGAATATTTATAGGAAAAGTTATTGCTCAAAGGAAGCCAGGGGCCAGTTGCATTTCCTCCATTCTGAGACATAGTTCTTTAAGGGATGGGGAGAAGCATGTCACCTGGATGGCTGGTCTTTGGAGTTGCTCTGACTCAACCCTGTGATAAGTCTTTTACCTGGATTAAAGCTTCCTTCCTCAAATATTCTAGTGCCTAGTACCCTACATAAGAATCAGGAAATTGATCGGGTGGGTCACAGCTTGGGCCACTAGGCAAATGCCCTGTGGCAGGTCTCTGGAATAGCTGGGCTCATGCCTGCTTTGGGCATCTTAATTTTTTTTTAACACTGACCCTGGTGGCCTATTTCTCCGCAAATTGAAAACCTGGAATTGAGCATGTTGAGGGGACTATGGGAGGTGGCTATTGCTGAGGGCCCTGGGGCCACCCCTCCCTGGCAGGGTGGGTCTGCCCTGCACTGAAGGTCTCACAAGGTCCTCTGGGCGGTAATTCTTGGTGATCCGCATTTTAATCCACACCCCCCTGCACCCCATTCTTCTTGATTCCGCTTGGATTCTCTCCGGCATCATCTTATTTGAGATGGTGATTGCATGACCCCGTGTGTTTTTGTCGCCATTACAGACCGTCTCGGAAACGCAGGTCCCTTGGTGTCGAGGCGAACGTGACGGAGCCCGTGCCCACGGCCCCAGCCCCGGCCCTCCCCAGCAGCTCCCCCAGCGTGCCCGCCAGCCAGGAGGAGCACAGGCCCTTTGAGAAGGTGGTCAACAAGGAGTCGCTGGTCATCTCGGGCCTGCGCCACTTCACCGGCTACCGCATCGAGCTGCAGGCCTGCAACCAGGACGCGCCCGAGGCGAGGTGCAGCGTGGCCGCCTACGTGAGCGCGCGCACCATGCCCGAAGGTGGGCGCGGGTGGAGCCGGCCGCTCCTTGGGGTTCTGTGTCCTTGTTGCTTGGTGTTTTGAGGTGGGTTCTGGTTGTGTCCCCCGGGCTGTCCTCCAGCTCTGGGCCCAAGCCTTCCTCGGCCTCGGCGGCCCCAGTAGCTGGGGCCACAGGTCTGCGCCACTACACCTGGAGTGTTGGGTTTCTAAATGACAAGAGTCACACGTAGCTGATTGTGTAAACTGTGGAAAATACATGCCAATGGGAAGAGAAATAGAGTGGAATTAAGAAACGTGTCTGGCACTTAGAGCCCTGCAGAGAGACGGAGTCTGTGTGCTTCTGTCTCCATGACTGGGAACAGGGCCTCCTATAAGTGGGATCCCACGGTATCTGGTTTTGATTTATATCTATTATTTATGTTCACGATTTAGCCAAGTGCAGATAGAACGTATTCAGAACAAAAACTGGCCCCAGTGCTGACTTCTTGTCCTGATGTTTCCCTTGTCATTGCTGCTTAAACAGCACAATGTGACAACGGGGTACACAGCGTTCACACCATGAAGATTTTAAAGACAACTAGAGACCATTTATAGCCCACGGAGGGTGTGGGTAGGTCCTATGCAGACATCCCTTCACTTCACAGAACCTGGTCCTGCAGGTTTTGGTCCCTGTGGGGGGCCCTGGAACCCATCCCTCCTGTACTGAATGACCACCGTGTGTGCGCACGCCCACGCCTGTGTGGAAGGAGAGGGGTTCATTTTAAGGAATTGGCTCCTGCAGTTTGGGAGTCTGGATTAATCTAAACTTCGGAGTCGGCCAGCAGGCTGGAAACCCCAGGGGAGGGTCACGGTTCAAGTCCAAAGACCGTCTGTGGCCCAGTTCCTCCTTGCCTGGGCGGCTTCCGCCTGTGTTCTCTTGAGGCCTTCAACTGACTGAACGAGGCCCACCAGCACTGTAGCCCATCATCAGCTTTACTCAGTTCACCAATTTAAATATTAATCTCATCCAAAAAGCAGCTTTTCAGAAGGACTCAGAACAATCTTCGGCCCATATCTGAGCACCATGCACTACAGTGACACACAAAATTCATCATCACGTGTAGTAAGAAAGGTTGAATTTAGTCACCCCTAAATTCCTAAGATGAACCCTGAATAATCTTCATATATTTTTCCAGAATTTATTTACTCAGATGGCTCCACCTGTATAATTTTTGTGTTTTTTTTTCTTATTTTTTAAATTGTGACTACACATAACATGAATTTACCATCTTAGCCGGCACACTGACATGCACAGTCCAGGGGCATGAAGCACGTTCACACCGTGCAGCCCCCACGCCCTCCCCACAGCTGGAGCTCTGTCCCACGCCACACTGACCCTGTCCCCTCCCAGCCTGGCTCCTGCCTCGTTGCCTCCCATCTCTGTGGATCCCCGGACTCCAGTGGCCTCCTGTAGGTGGGGCCCCTGGTCTTTGCTGTTTTGTGCCCGGCTGATTTCACTCAGCCAGATGTCCTGGTACTTCGTCATGTTTTTGCGTACTGTAGAACATTCTTCCTTTTAAAGGTAGAGTAATATTCCTGCAAATAGCTTTCAGCTCACTTTATGGGGAGGCTCGTGAAATGGCGTCATGGGTTGATGGCATGGTATTTCAGCTGCGAGTGAGCCTTCATGTTTGGCTTAAAAGTCCTTTTTCAGTGGTCTGTTGGTGGCTGTGTTGAAATGTCCCACTTAAAAAGTAACACTTAGATGAGCGGCTTGACACCCCTGTCCAAGTATTTCATTCAAATCTATGGGTTGAATTGGAATTGCTTCTTCAAAGTCCACGTGGTGTGACAACCCATTATGATTACAAGGATCCTCCAGAAATGTATCGATTTTCAAAGCACACATTTGTCATTCATGTTCAAAGTGCTTTTCACACAATCAT